AAAATTCTATCAATTACAGGCATGAGATCTAGGAAATGTGCTTGCTTACTGGGTCTCCAGTTCTGAGGATTCTTTAAAAATTGGACAGCTTTTATAGGAAAATCCCCAGAATGATTAAATGATCCAAAACCAGTCCTTTGAGTACTTCCGCTTCCTTAGTAGGACTCTCTATTCATATTCATTTGTGTAAAACATCTCAGTACATGACCACATCCTCCGTTTCCCTAACACCCCACATTCAGCACACAGACCAAAGTAAATGAAGTTGCTGTGTGTAGAACTTCATTCTCATCTATTGAAGAAATTGCAGGGAAGTGCAAAAAAGAAAGCAGGAGCTTAGACTGAGCAGATGCTGCTTGAAAAATCTGCCTTCTGCCCCATCTCTGCCCCTGAGCTCTAATGTGTTGCAAAGACTGGGAAAAAAAGCATTTTCAGAGGAGCATCACCAGGAACATTGTTCAATTTTCAGCTGTGTTCCTCTCCTGAGATAATGGACTGCATGCAAAGTTTTGCTATTAGTATATGGCACGAGACAAAATCCTAAGTGCTCTGCAAAACCAGACCCTTGCTTGCTCAGAATTGCCATCTGCCTCTCCTGAGTGTTGGGTGTTAAGCTGTGCGCCTCAGCAGCATATGTGCAAACCGGGCAGCAGAGAGCCTCTGCACCTGATGGTGATGCACAATCACCAACATACCCAATTTACTGAGAAACTAGAATGACTCCACCAAAACAAAGCCTATGAGGAAATAAGCAAGTAATACTAAAAAACAAAAAACAATTCAACAAGTGCTAGCCATCCTGTGCTCTGAGTCAGGGATTGTGAAAAAAGAAAAAAACAATATATGATAATATAAATAAAATATGATAATTTAATGAAAAATAAATGCATATTGCATGGGCAAATAAAAATATGGCATTAGTTTTCACTGAATATCCAACTTTGCACCTTTAACACTACTTGCATGTAATCTTTCTCCCTCTTCATTGAAGACTCATGAGTAGTTATAAAATACCAGACAGCAACCACAAACTGTTATATATATTAGGAACAAACTACCCTGCAAATGACTTGAGTTCATATCCTTTGCATGCATGAAAGTAGATTAAGAAAAGAAAGAGTCTCATACACATTAAAGGGGGCTCTTGCATGCTCACCTATTTTGCATGTGCAAAGGAAATTTTTGCATGCACAACGGGTATGCACATAAATGCATTTTGATTGCAACGTAAGTATTGCCTTTAGAAAATTGTGTCCCATTAAATAATTCGTATTATCCTCCTAGTAGAAGAAGTCTGGAAATGCCTAGTGAGAAACTAAATTGGTGAAAGCGGGGATTCAGAAAGTATTGTCTTCTGTGCTGCAATAGTAATACTTTATTATTGGTTTATACGGAAAACAAATTGGATAATTTGAAGCTCAGATAAGCCTGGGCTTTATCTAGCCACACAGGTTGTTAGGGGACATGGGCCTGTGTGTTGCCCTGCCTAGACGATGGTCCCAGATGCCCTGGGAAAGGCCCAGGGCACCCGATCCCCCTTGGCAAAGGGCAGGGCAGGTAACTGGCCACCCAAGCAGAGTCAATGTGGGGAGTTTGGAACTGGGAAAGTGCTCCAAGAAATCGCTCCATTCCATCCAGATGGAAGAGGAGAGGGGCATATTTTGAAAACCTGCTGGGCAAGATGCAAATGTATCTCAAGGCTCAGGCCAGCTAGTCCTGCCTAATTGAATGTGCAGGATGTCATTTTATGATGAGAGAAATTTCAAGAGAATATACCATTTTAGAGAAGGCAGCAAGGAATACTAGAGCTGCAAATAGTGTTGCTAGCACATAACTACTGTCAAGAATGGGTTCAAATCCATTATACACTGAAGATCTAAATGAAATACCTGAGCAACTAGGAAATTGCATGGAAAAAATTAGGAAGATGATGTGTTGGGACTGAATTATTACAGCTTGGTGAAAACTTTTCTTCCAAGTGTTATCTTCATCCTCAATCTTTGTACAGGATTCCTGTTTGTTCCTGCAGTTGTAATGACTGAGGCTAGGATATAGGTCTTGGCCTTATTATCTGTTAGTTTGTAATATCTACTACTGGATGACTTGATGAGAAATTACATTTTAAAACGCTTGATATTAATTTAAAACCTACACGGTTTTGCTCATTATTTCTGAGACAGTCTATTCAACTCCTCTTCAGCAGCTACAGCAAAGTCTGCTGACCCCATTGATGAGGTAATCAATTATGCTGGAACAAAAAACAAACTAGTAACTAAAAAGAAAGGAAGCCTATGGTTTTATAGAGAGCCAGAGAAAACACAGAGAAAGAGCATTTGGCAAATGACACTGGACAAAATGCTTCATTTCTAGGTCCAAGAAAATATATTTTAAATTTATATTAAATATGATTTACAAAATCAATGTTCTTCTGTGCTGGACAGCTTTATTTAAAGGGAATGAAGACAAAACAGGGCAGACATCCAAATCTGTGGCTCTATAGGCATGTGGCACTCTGGAATGGAGGTTCACAGGCCAGCAACTGCAATTATCCCAAATAGTAATGATTTAGCATCCTGTGATGTCTACACTGTAAGAAATATAGGCTATACTTTTATATCACAGCCATCTGAATTCCAGGTTTAAATTCTGCCTTTAAAAAGACTGCAGCACAGCTTGCTGCTGTGTGCACATAGGAGAATAAAAATGATTAATTCTGCCCATCAGTGAAGTTCTCGCTTATGTGTATCACAAGCCTTTGCTGTATGCAGCAGAAAAAAAATCATTTATATGCTTAGTTTCAAATCCTTATTTAAAAACATATAACGATGCTAATTACTAAACACTGGGGAAATTGAATAAAATATCATAAAATGCTAACGCAAAAAAAGCAAACTACCTCAAACCTAAACGCATTTACCAGATTTTTCTTTTAGTGCATGGCTTTATAATCCTCATTTCAGAAAGGATTTTCATGTTAAAATTAACAGAAGAAAGTAATTGGGAGAGAAGTAAATCAAACTGGAAATATATCATCTAATATGAGCTCCCATGATGAGCAGAACATCTGAAAAAGAGCAGAATGATCAATTCCGCACTGCAAGACAGAGAGAAGCAAAGGGTGTCTCAAAAAAAAAGATTTCCTTTTGGAATCACCACAGCAGGAGCCGGAGGAAGCTTTGCACCCAGAGACCTAATGTTGTCTGTTAAGCTAACAAAACTAGACTGGAAGGAGAAAAAAAAAAAAGTAAGGCTTCATCTTTTCATCCCCTTCCACTTCACTGCTTATCTCCCTAGCGCTTATCTCGATCCCAGTTTTCTTTTTCTGAGGATTTTTTCTCTCTCCCCTCTTTTCTTTCTTCCTTCCTTTCTTTTTCAATGCTGACATAGGTATCAGCATGGGGACGTGGTGCCAGCTGTGCCCAACAGCTCCGGCCTGGGCGCCGCCGAGCGCGCAGCCCAACCGGAGCGCTCCCAGTGCCGCTGGCAAAGCCTCCGGCGCAGGGCGATGCCATGGGAGAAACCTCAAAGGAAGCGGGCGAGTAACGGGAGCTACGGCAGCTCCGTGTTGCCCGTTGCTGTTGGGACACAGAGCAGGACTTGGTGGGGCTTCCGCAGGGGCAGGTCTGCAGAACGGGCTCCAGCGCAGGAGGATGCCTGCCCAGAAAGGACGAGCTGACATCGCGGCTCTGTGGATGTCTCCTGTACACCAAAATGTAATGGGCAGAATATGTACCCAACCGGAGGCCAAACTAACTGTGAGGACACCATGTGCACAACATAGACATGTTATTCCATGTTATTCTTGAATTTGTTCACAGAAAAATTCTATTGCAATGTATTATTCCTCCTACGATTTGTGCCAAATTCTTCCCTTAGCTGCACTACCTCAAACCTGCACCGCATACTGGAAAAACTAACTTTTACACTAACATTAGATAAGTAGCAATGAGCTATAATATATAAATCGCAATCTATAAACTGCAGAGATTCAGATTCTCAGCCCAGCGCACTGTCCCACCTGGAGTCCAAGCAACTTTGGAAGCAGGACTCCATCCATAGGAAGAGTAATGTAAGGATCACAAACCTGAATGAAACATCACTATAATAAAGATAATCTAGCAATTATCTGTTGCTTGACACTAGACTGAATAAAGCTGCATTTTCTCAAATTTCCTCCTGTCTGAAAATCCATGACAAATAAGTCTTTATATAATTCAAAGGAATAAAATTAAATATTCTTGGCCAAGTTAGCTTGGTGTATCACTGGGCAATTTGCCTCATTTTATCCACTAATGGCATATCTAGAAGTAGGAAAAATCTGCATTTCTAACCTTGAAATTTGAACCTCACAAATCCATATTTCAGTGTGAGCGTTGTAAGCCCCACACCAGGGAATACTTTCAAAAAATAAAAATAAACTTCCAAACTTTGACTGCACTTCAAGGGTCAAAAAGCAATGGGAACAAATGCATTATTTAATCATAAAAAACACACTCGCTTCAGTGCAAGACTGAGGAGGGAACTCAGCCTCCCAGAGGCAAGTGAAGTGAGGACTGCTTGGAGGGCCTGCTGCAAGCAGCATCGGTGCGGGGCTGCCTCGCAGCCTGGCGGAGGGGAGAGGTTGAGGACGTGGGGAAACCTGGCAGCTGGTAATAAGAAGGAACTGCCATTTTCTCTGGAACAGGGAAACGGAGATGAAAAATGGTGGAGAGCTGCTTGCTGACAAAAAATAAACCCATTCTTCAAAGCTGAAAGACCATCAAAAGCACAGGGCTACTCACACATTTCTTTAATTGTATGATAAAATGCTCAGCCTTTTTAATGACACGTTCCTACTAACTAGATCTTTATTGCAGCCTCTGCATTTCTCCCTCGTCATCATTAAGGGTAAGATCTGTCTCTTACCTGACTGACACAGGCCTGCTCTCCTTACCTTGACTCAAAGATAACAGTCACTTAAAAAAAATGCTCACAATAATCATCAGCTGTGGAACACTTACCCTGAGGTAGTTGAGGGTGAAGTTTGTCAGACCCATTCGAGTGATGTTTTTGGACAGCTGCTCCAGCACCTGAGGGTCTTGTGCCTAAGCATCAGAGAAAAAAAAAAGAATTTTCACTTTGCTTTTCAGTTGTTTTTGTTTACATGCTTATTGGAGTCCAGGGGAGGGCATCCTGAAGAGAGGTGTCATTCCTACAAAAAACTACATTTGGAGACTAAATTTAAGTCACAGGGCTACCACAACTACTGTTGTGCAAAATACAAACCCTGATGAAATTGGAACAGAATTAAGACTTTTCCTGTGTCTTTCTCTGCCTCTCTGTGTCTTTCTCTGGCCTCTGCTCAGCCAACAGACCAAGCAGATGGTCATGGGCAGGACAGCAAACAAGCAGGTTGCTGTGCCTGGGAGGGTCCTTCCAAGGAGCTTTCTGAGGGATCAGAGCACACCTGCACACTTTCATTTCCTGGTGAGGCCCAACAGACTAAGCAGAGGAAGGCAGGAGTAAAGAAGGTATCACTTTCTTTTTGTAGATAAGCAATGAACCCAAGAGAGCTCAAGAGTCCTCATGCAGAGAGGTGCTGCAGTGGGCACCTGCAGCCACTCTAATCACGTAAATGGTGTTAAGCACAGCCTGAAAAACCCTTCTGATCTAGGTTATTTTCCCAGAATCAAATAGAAAAAAATCTGAGCAAAGGTCCTCCCTCACCCAGCCAGGAACCCACCTGAGGGACCAGCCTTCTCTTTAAAACAAGATCAGTCTCATTGCTAAAATTAACACCTGCTGGTCCTTGGCCAACCCTCTTTGAATCACAGCCCCCTAAATACAGAACATTGCTCCTGGCCATCCTCATTTTTCTCTTAATGGGATGCTGTTGAAGAGTTCAGAAGATTAGCCCTCTGAAATAAAAGAAATCCCCAGGATAGAAATGGTGGGCCAGATTTTCAAAGGTATTTCTTCAGGCCTCTAATAGGATTTTCAATAAAAGTCCAGCCTGTTTAAGTCTTTTAAAATTCTTCACTAACAACATATTTGTATTGAGGAATATCAAAGTAACTCAATAATGTCAAAGTAAGGTCATTTATTCGACCCTGTGTTCCTACTGTCTCTAAAATCATAGTCCTGCAGTTAATTTTGGATATGGAGCCCTACTAATATGAGTACTTCTATAGTGCAGAACTGAAAGCTGCAATAATACTCTGTATTTTTTTCTCCCCAACAGTTTACCTCATAGTAGTTTGATGTCAAGCCATTGAATCTTTAATATTTTAATATTCCAATTTTAATATTCCAAAAAAAAAGACTTGAAATGTGAAAAAAGCAGGATCTTGATGAAATTTCTGAAGGTTTCTAAGTAAATGTATATTTTTTACCTGAGCTTTGTCTCATGCAGGAGTGAAATTAGATTGCCTTATTTAAAGACTAATCTCAGTTTTTACAGAGAATGATGAAAATTCACTGTCTTTAGCAGAGAATACTAATAAGAACACATTTTGGCCCCAAATCATACAGACCAGCAAATGGGATTATATGAAAAAACTATGTGCTAAAATGAAATGAAAAGGCAGCAATAATGGCAACAATAGAACAGCGAGAAACAAGAGAGTGATGAAAGAACTTGTAAATGGATGTGGTTGTAGGCAAAACAAAATATTTATAGTTAATTGCCTTGGGTGTGAAATTTGCTGGAGTTCTTTACAAACCAAATCTCATCTCTTTGCATTAGGTCAAGTGAAAAAAGGATTACTTACATGCATGGCTAGAATGCTGCGTGGGACTAATTCTCTGTACTGCCTAATAGTAAAGTGCCATGTTTTTATTCTCATAAGATCATCAAAGGTAAACTCCAAGATAAGACGTCCTTCTGTGCATACCTAGAATACATAAAAAGCATGAAATAAATGTCCAGGAATTTTGCTTTCAACAGTATTGTATCATCAATTAATTTCACCAACGCTCAGAAATAGCAGAGCAGCATCCTACTGTTCATCTCTGTGAGACTAATTGTTTTGCTTTCTCTTGAAGAGAGAAAAAACAATGTGGGAAAAGGACTTCATAGGCCTTATTGTGGAGACAGTTACTGAAGATACTATAGATTTTATAGCATTTTATAAACAAAGAGCACCGTGTGCACTAAATCTTATTTATTGCACCAATTCTCTTTTCCTCTCAATTCATCACTGCTAATTAATGACTCAAGCCCTCAGAGCAGGTGACTGGTGCAATTGTACACGCTCGCTGGCAAGTTGCTGAATCAGCCATTCCCAACTTCTTTTATGTTATCTTCCTTCACAACAGACTGGAATATAAACCAGTTTTTACATCCAGTTGGAGTGCACAGTGCCTTGTAGGGCTGAGATCAAACCTGATTTTTTTTCCTTTATTTTTTTCCCATCTTTTCCAAGTATTCCTGACTTTTCCAGGCATTTTATACCATTTTTATCTTTATTTCACTTCCTGAAGATGAAAAATAAAACACAATACTGGGCAGTTTTTAAGACTGTCCACAACTTCATGTGGGAAAAAAGGAAATGCTATGGTCCTCTTGAAAACGCAAAACCTCATCGTTGCATGGCATCCTGCCTCTGGGTACTGCTGTAAATGGTGCCTGATCTGAAAACGAGCTATCCCTGGTTATTTTTCTGATATCTGGGTGTTTCAGCTCCTGTTCAAAGCCAATTCACAGGGGCAGGGAAGGGAGAGGGGGCAGAGGGAGGAATGGGCACAAGTGCTGCCTTCGGAAGGGAGCTCCTGGCACCGTGCGGTTATTTGTGCTAGGGATCGAGCCTTTCTGCAGCCCTTCTGCCCTGTCCCACCAGGGCAATGCAAGGACTTTCTGGCTAACAGTCCACTTAATGTCCCTGCAGCTTTTCCTCATAGTTGTTTCTGCAAAAAACAGGTAATTTTAGCAGACACCTTATATAGTTAAATTACTGCAGGCCTATGAAGAAGAATCTTGCAACAGGTTCTCACCTGCCCTTCTCAGCATCACTGAGTGCCCTCAGACTCCTGATGTGACTTATTTTGCCTTTTACTCTGATGTGGACTTTCACATTGGCTGCCCCACAATGAAAGATTCCACATATGTATACATAAGGACTCATATGAGAGAAACATTTTGTGCAATTGATGTTACTGTGTTGAGGCCAAAGATCCTGGTTATTGACCAGTTAATGCAAAAATACTCGAGTTAACAGGAAAATAATTTTTATAGTAATACCTGTAGCTTCTCAAATGTTTCTTCTGTAAAGCTCAAAAAAATACAGCCTCTACAGATTCATTTTACACACTGGCATTAACGAATTTTAATGGAAAAACAGGAACACATACCTCATATCACAATGGTAAAAATTTATACATCTAAAAAAGGAATTTAATTTCCCTGCGCAGAGCAGAATTTAATGTCTCGCTTTTAATCAATAAAATTGGTACTATTGTTATTTTAAACCCCTCTCTCTCTTTTTTTTAATTTCTTTTTCTTTTTTTTAAAGCTGCCTTTTACATGAATTCCAAAAAATCAAAAGGGTCTCCAATTAAGAAAACATTTTCTGTTGTGCCGAATTCATGTTAGCGTACTGTGAGCTCTGACATTTTGTTTCTGTGGTAACCAAAATCAGCTGATTAGTTGGCATGGCAACAGAAAAGATGTAATCCCAGCAGACACACTCTAATCAATGCCCCCAGCACAGATGGTCTCCGGAGGATCAACAAGAAAGAGGCTGGCAGGCATTCAGCGGGTCACGTGGCTGCTCTAGACTAGGCCAGGAAAAAACTAAAAAAGAACATTTCTCAAACTAACCAATAGCTTTTTAACCCCTTCACTGCACTTATTAATTGTAGGAAATTCAGCAGCTGGCACCTCTGTGCAAGAACTCCGGTCCCACTCCTTGTTGCTCAGACTTTCTGCCTTTAAAACTCTTTGGCTTTTATTAATGACTGTTCCTCAAATCTGATTCTTTAGATGAAAAGAAATTTAAAGCTTGTAGAAATGCGGAAAACACATAAGCATTAAAACCACTCTGAATTTTAAGTGCTGCACCTACAAAATACAGCTGATCAACCTGCTGGTTTGCACAGCAAAAAACAGTCTAACAAAATATGCTCACTGCTGCAAAGGTAAAGCTCACCTTTCCTATCTATCGGGATAAATATAAAATTGCCACCAGTGGAAAAATACTTTGACCACTCATAAAGTTTGAGTGTCCATAAACACTGAGGAAACAGAGTCAGGCTTAGCAGCACTCCTAATGCTTTCCTTTATTTGGAGAAAAAAAAGTAAAAGAAATATCTGCCAGATAAACCAACATGGCAGTTAGTTAGGACTTGAAGCTCTTGCATTGCATTTCATTCATGCTATCAAACTATATGTTTCTTTTTGTGTTGCATTTATCTATATGTTGATAAAATACATTTTTAAGTGTTTTTGTCACTTTACAGGGGCTAACAGGCCTCTAAAGATAAGCCGGACTGTTTATATTCTTACAGTTAGGCATGTGCTTAGCTATATTTGTTTGAAAAAAAAATAGAATTGCCATTTTCTATATTCATTCAATACTACAGCATGCGGTGAGTTGTTCTAACAAGAAAAATGTCGAAATGAATAAAATGCAGCTGTGCCTTCCCCATTCACTCCATAATGAGAACTGTTTCAGCCCATTATATTAGAAGTTAGAGAAATTGTTTACGAAATTGGAGCAGCTATTAAACGAGTACAGTTGGTCTGTGTTTTTGCATACAGAATATATGTTTGCAAGAGATTCATCGGGGCAAACTGAGGCATGAGCTCTGGAGGGCTGCATTTGCTCCAACACCAGCCCTGCAAGGGTTAACAGTCCTGCCTCTGAGTACAAAATCTTTGGTATCTTTGGTATCTTTGCTAGAAGTTACACAGGCACAGCTGAGCCAATATTAGACTCTAATGTATTTCTGAAGGAGAGTAATATATTCCTTTCCCCTCATTCTACTGACTGCTGTGTTTTATTCCAAACTTGTTTTTCCTAACAAAGTCATTTTTTAAACACATAAGCATTTAAAAAACCCCACTATTTTCCTGCTACAGTCCAAACGACACCCTCCACATGAACCCTGCTAGAGCGACGCCGCGGTCCTTGCTAGCAGGCCCAGAGGAGCCCCGTTCCCGAGGCAGGCGGTGCTCCCGCGGAGCGCAGCGCACGCGGACGCTCACGGAGCGCACCGGGACCGCGCGCCGGCCGCCCTCGCGCCAGGGCTGCCCTCACCCCAGGGCTGCCCGCAGCCGCCTCCTGGCGCCTCTGCAGCTCTGGCTTTGGCTCGGGCACATATTACCTCCCTTGCCAAGGTAACGGAACGGGGTATAACAATAACGCAAAATAAACTTGTTGAATCGACAAAAATCTGTTTTACTTGCTGATTCCAAAAGAGCCCTTCTTGTTTAATACTGAGTTAAAGGTAGCACAAAGGCAAATGACATGGAAATCTTGCTAGGGAACCACGCGAAGCGGGGAAGCAGCTACCACGTCCTCTCCACTCGCTGTCCCCACAGCTACCACATGCACCTCTTCATGGGGGCAGGGTGGGAAAGAGGGGCCACCTAAGACCATGCAGCTCTTTGCACCTCTCCTTCTGTCTGCTTTTGTGTCAGCGGTGGGACAGCTGGAGCAAACAGGGCACAAAACGCGCACTCCAGTTCCCTGGCGCTGCCCAGGGGCTGGCTCCTCTCGCGGTTGTTCCAGCCCTGCTCCCACAGGCAGAGACACGTCAGGGAAGAAGAGGCTACAGAAGGTTGGGGCTCAAACTCACGATAAACTGCGCAGGTCGTGCAAGAACCGCTCGGGGCGCTGGCAACGGCCAGGGCCTCTTCTGACTCCACAACCTCCGCGTCCCACGGGCTACGGGTGAGGTGGGCTGCTCAGCTCCTCGTGATGCCCCTTCTGTGCTGAGCTTTGTCCCATGAAAAGGGTGACATTGAAGAGGCAAAGCACAGAAGGGAGTCAAATCCTGTTAAATTAGTAAATTTTGCATTTCTATTTTTAAAGCCCTTTTACTGGTTTTTATTTCAATATAAGATTTTTGTTTTAGTTTGGTATTTTCCACTTTTCTAGTCCTGCTTTTATAAATACATTGCATCCAGTACAATTACAGGAATTAGCTGCAGAACTGGAACTGACCAAAGCACAAAGATAATTCGCTACTAATTACAAGTATTGAGCACGTACTAACTGTCTGATCCCAAACATGCTTACATCAACTGAGTCCTTCCATTGGCTTTACTGCCCCTGGGGCCAGCATCCTACTGTATTAAATCACTATTTGCCTAGAGATTTACAGTCCTTGGCCTGGGTAAGTATCAAATGTAAAACATACTATCCAGAATGGTATGTAGCAGCAATGTAAAATCTCATAGTATAAAATCAAGCCAAGAGAAAAGGAGATAGGCAGGTTGAATTTAATTCCCATACATCTCAAGTCTCTGGCAGCTTGGCATTATGTGCTTCTCTTGCAATCTTTCTGGGAGAATTGCAGAAGATGCCCACAGAATTTTCTACTCATGTAATGCATACAGAAAATCGTAATTAAAGGGCTACAGGGGTTTGCAGTATTAGAAATAATCTCAGTCTGCCATAAAAATGCAACAGCCAGTATTTTCCATCTCATATACGCTGAAGAAGAAAAACCAGACAAAAAACAACAACATGCTGTATTGAGTCTTCCCTGTTACCTTGGTAAACATGGGTTTTCCATGCTGAGTGACCATGGTGCATTGATCACAGTCCACTGTGATGGATGAGTTGTGGTATGACTCTTTTGAGTGCTTGAGAATGTAATACAGGTCTGTTACACCTCCTTCAAAGACAGTGCTAAAATAACGAGGAATGAGGGTCCTTCCAATCGCTGTGAGGAAAATACAAAGCAGAATTCAGCAAATGTGCTAGGTTAGGAAATCTCAAACCATTTGCTAACAGAACATGAATAATTAGTGCAATGAAATCAAACTTTGATTTAAAGAATATAATAACATGTTCTCTCTCTGCTGCAGAAATGACGCGCCTGCCCCCATCGAAATGAATGAAAACGGCTTCCCTGTTCGGAGGGAATGGGCTCATCTTAGTCTTTTTACCTTGATGGAGAGTTAGAGTCACTCTTGAAACAAGACGTGGTGTCACTTATGATTGAAAATCGGACATTACTCATAAATGTATAAATACAAATGGTGAGCATTTACAGAAATAGATTTGCACACCCAAGAAGGCAAAGATCGTTCATGTTTGTATGTGTGCACATCTATATTTATAAATACCCTCCACAAACACCACCCCCCTCCTCCTCCCCTCACACACACACCGCCGTAGGCTAGACAGCGTGAGCAGCACCTTAGCCAGCTTACACACACTCCTCAAGCCCAAGTGTGGGCTCAGTGGGTAGAAATCTGCAATTCTTACTTGGACAAAAATCTCACTCAAGTCACACCACTAAATTCAAGAGCAGTTTCAGATAAGGGTTACAGGACCTTACTCCAAATAAGTAATAGTATTTCAGATGCACAGGCTGGCCAAAGCATCAACATCAAAGGCAGTTATCATCTGGCATGCAACTGATGTTTTCTGTCTCCCTTTTTACTGATAAATTTGGATGCAACCACAGCTTGGTACGACAAAGTAACATTTTAATTTATAATAGACCAATACTTCCATACTGAATGACTCATTCCTCTGCATACATTAATTAATCCACAGTAATTCTGACTGGTGGATGCATAAATATTGCCTCCATTTTGCAGAGGGAACAACCAAGCGACCCAAACTAAGTGTTTTTGAACAATGGGGTAGAAAAGTCATCATCAACAAGCTAGATTAGAGTTCATTAGTTCCTAATTTTTACTTATCTGTTGTAACTATGGGGTGATTCATGCTGCTCTCCTCTGCTGTATGCTTTTGAGGATACTTTCTAAAAAAAACTTATTTTCATAGGAGTTTTGGCAGCCTGAGAACAAAGGTCCCTGACCCTAAAAATGTATTTGCAAGTGAGTGTTGTAAATTAAAAGCACAGTGTTTTCACAGAGGTAGTTCAGTCTCTGCTCTGTGCATTGCATTCTGAAATACTGTATGTACAATCAGAATGCACATTGAGTAACGGAAGCATACAAACATAGAAAATAAGGATTTGTCAAAGATTTTTTTCTTAGATATTAACATAATTGAATGTATAAAAATATATTACACCTTCCGGATGTGTCTGACAATTCAGTGAATACTTTATATGACTATTCTACAGCTCAAGCTCCCTAAAAAGGCACCCACTCACAAGCATATGGTAATTATCTACAGTCTTTTAATTTAATTTAGAAAAACTGAAGTCCAGTGTATCAGCATAAGACTGTACTCGAGCTTTAACTCATTTTTTTCATGTTGCTTTGTATGGTATATAGTAAAATACAAAATTTACCCATCAAGTTAATTTCTTGCTCCCCTAAGGCTAATTAGTGCAAATTAAATTTCCTGCTAATCATCCTAAGCAGTGAATGTGTGATATGAAAATCCAGCAATTCCTACTGATTGTGATAAACCTATACTCGTGCTACTTATGCTTTGCATAAGTATCTTCAAACTATTTGAGCCGCATGCAAGGCAGCATGGTCATATGGTGTTGCTTTCTACCTTGTTTCCAGCAGCCACAAGAAAGCAAGAAATGAATTAAATGTCTTATTATTTTCTTGGCAAGCAATCGCTGTGCTTCCACGGAAATATTATGCCACTGTGAAGAACAAAGTGGGAGACCTAAAAGGATGAAGAGTAGAGAAAGAGTAGAGAAGGATAGAGTAGAGAAAGAAGATGCTCCATGGAATCGGATTTTCTAATAGCGATGTGTGTGCAGACCCCGACCTTTAATAACTAATGGGAACGTCTGGCATAAACAGCTACATCTCACATCACCTCCAGTAGAAACATTCACAGAAATGCGTGTTCATGAGCAGAGCTGTCCTCTGCTTGCAAGGTTGCCTTGCCACCCAATTCCAAACCGGGTGCAAGGTTTTCGTCCTCTTCCTGAAGCAGTCAGAGCCTCAGAGAGGTCATTGTAATTCTAGGATGAAGACACAACTCCCTACAGCGGGAATGAAGCTTGTTTGTGCAGGAGAAGTGTCTTCAAGAACCAAGTAACGCTGTGGAACAAACGCGTGTAAAATCTAGGGACTATCACAACCTTGATGCATGTGAAGTGCAAAGGGCCTGCTTTGGTTTCGCTCCTCCAGCAGGCCCAGCGCGAGGAGCGCGTCCTGCCGGCGCTCCTGCTGCGGGTGGCGTCCTCAGGTGGAGGCACAGGCCCGTGTCCTGTGGTAACGTCCTGTGACGCCTGCTGAAGGACCCTTCCTAGGAGGGCTCTGAGCAATGCGGAGGACTGCGGGACAAGCTGGTGGCCACAACCACGTCACAAGGATGCAGTTTAGGCATCTTTGGGCCAAAAACATGAACTCAAACAGAGTAGAGCACAGAGCGAACTCTACTTTGGGAAAGCAGCCACAGATTCACACCTGCGGCTGGATACAAACGGGATCCAACAGTGGTCCAGAAAACGCCTCCTTGTAGTGTGAGTTCTGACTCCCTGCCCTGTGAGACATGGGGTGCTCTGAAAATGAGAAAGAAAATTCACCTGACCCTCAGCACTCGGGCATAAATTTCACACCCCTGCAATGCTGCTTTAAATTTCTGGCAAAGACAGCATCCTTCCTTCCTACCTGAGTATCCAAGAGCGTAGTCTTTCCTATGAGAGGAGGGCACTGTCCCTCAACGTTTGTTTCATTTGTACTAGCAAATCCCCAGATAGCAAAGCAAACTGACAAAGATGAGCTGCATTTAGCAACAGGCAATGGTTATTTATATGAAAATGTCTACAAGAAAGGCTTATCTGAAGTGCCTATTTTGCACAAAACATAACGATAGCATCAGCTGGAAGGACATGCCCTTAGCCTATTCGGTGTAGTAACTGCATGGCCACAAATGATTTTGTACATCTTTTAGGTGAATCAACAACCAAAATACGAATTTAGAAGTGAAGTAAGACAGGTAGATTTGCAACATTCTCCAGAACGCAACAGGTCCAGAAATCAATTAATCTGGTTATGAACATAGGCAAAAAGCTTTGCAGGTCAGTAATGGTTACAATGTAAAGGATTTCTTAAGCCTAGTTCCTGGGAGAATTCTAAAGAAAAGTCTAAACGAATCTTGGATATTAAATGGCCTGTGGTGTAGCTCTCAAGGAGGTCGGAAGTTATGTCATGCTCAAGCTTTTTGGCCTTGGCAAGGAATGAAAATGCCTAGGGTGCACTTCTATCATGCTGATCCTGGTGTGATACTCTGCTGTTATTCTCATGTTGAGCTTTCATTTATTTCCCATCTTAAGTATGTCTGCCTGGATGCAAAACAGCTTTTTAAGTTCTCCAGCTTAAAAATATTTTTGCATCCCCAATTAAACCACAAGTCAAAAGAGCTCTAGGTGGGGATGGCTGCAACTTGTGAAATTCAGGGTTTTTGCAAATCCACCCCCCAGCTCAGGAAAAGCAGATTAAAAAAAAAAAAAGTAATACAGTTGTGGTACCATCACACACCATATGGTGGTGATACTGTTTTTTTTCCCAGGGAAGATTCAAATAAAACAGAAAATAAACATGTTTTTCTAGTTCACAGGAAACTGGGATTATTTGTGGGCTAGGAATAGAAGAATACTTCCGCCCTTTGTGTCCCAAAGATAGGCTGTCAAATTCAAATGCCCTCTCTACAGCAGGAGGGTTCACGGCCTTTTTTCAGAAGGAGGTTTAATACCAAACCCTCCTTCATCCCTGGAACCTGCCATGTCTTGCCTTTCCAGGACAAACTTTCAGGGGCAGGCACTTACATTAAAGATACATTATATATGTGTGTGTCTGTATATATATAAAGCATGTAAGATAACTAGAAAATCAGCAGCTCTGAATCCTCTACACTCCTATGTCTTGTCAGAGCTATGATATTACATGAGTAAACGGATAAAACAATAAATATATAGAATATAAAAAATAAATAAATCCAGGGAATCAGCAACAGAATGACAAAAAAAACCCCGTACATCTTCGCTGAGCTCTGCTGGGAAGCCATGGTGAGCCTGCAGCTGATTACCCCATGGACACGTTACACAGGACCCCACTGCTCGGGGAGGTTTCGTGGCTCCCAAACAGAAATGCTGGATTGTCCTGTAAAGCTCAAGTTCCATGAGAGCATCCTGTTTGGGAGATTATCACAGTTGGATCTCAGTGATTAAATGGAGATGCAAAGACTAAATCCCCCCAGCCAGGTCTAGGGGCTAGGGACTCGGGAGATGGCTTCCCATTGGCTGCAAAGGAGCTTTCCTGGGCACTGTCGAAAAGGGCTGAGCTCTCCAGTTGTTCCTAATTGACATCTCAGGGCTCTGTTAATTGAAATCAGTGTGGGCCTCACTTTGGCATATTCTTTTATATATGTTTTTGTAACTGGAACAGATAAAACTGTATATAGAAAGCAAAACATTTTGGAGTGATACAGAGATATCATTGCAGCTATTCTGCTTAAAATATTTGTTTACTTTTATTTTATTAGCCCAAATGTCAACTGCCACATCCTCTGTGTCCTCCCCAGTTCTGATCTGCCTAGAAGAGATGTGCAGGGAGGTACATTCACCGTCTAAGGGCTTTACTGAGCAGCCACGTCAATGGCGAAGGGGACGGAGAAGCAGTTCAGAGACGGAAGCTGGTCAGCAGCAAAGCTCCCCGTTTAGATGCACTGATTTGCTCTCTGGAAGAGCTGCAAAGGAGGCTGCTGATGGGAACAGCCCTCCGCAGCTATAACGCCTTATGTGCTGAGTGC